ACGTGTCACCGGAAAGCCAATGCGGGCCATGTTTCTAATCCACGTTGCGATCTCCTGATCGGTCTCTCCCAGAACTGGCTCTGGGCCACGGCGCTCTCTTCGATTTGAATCGCTTGCGATCTTCCTCGACAGGGTTGATTTCGGGACTCCGTATCGCTGCTCCGAACGCCTCAAACTCATCCCTTTACTCACTGCTTCAAGAGCATTTTGGAGCTGATCATCGGTGTGATGACTGTCCTGTAACGTGGGGATAATCGGAATCCCATTCCTAGAGCGACTGTTAAGGAGGTCCAGAATTTCTCCAGAGAGAAGACAGGTCGAAGAAAAACTAACCGTAGGCATCCCGAAGAAGGCTCGACGCGATCCAGACACATCCAACGATTCAACACCAATATTCTCAGTAAAGCATTAATTATCTCAAGCTCTGAATTACTCCGAAGCAGACGCGAGTCTCGAATTTCAACAACAAGAACGAGATTCGCGAGTGACACAGTTGTGTCCCAAAACCGGTCAGCGTGTCTCTGATTCGAATTTCACGAAAAAAATCTGACTTCGGGTGGATAACGAACTTAACTCCTGCTCAATGATGAACAGAAACTTATTTCGATCATGAATTGAATAGAACAGTAATCAGAGCTAGAGGGAATTGGGGAAATCTCTTAGATTTTCAGTGAGCCAATTTGGAAATTCTCTGCTGTCGAATCTCATCACTGCCGATAGCTGAGCTGGAAGCAGAGGCATCGAGTTTCGGGGCTTAGATAGGCAGCTCGACTCGAGACTTCGATCTCCATGTCATCCGAGCCCACTTTCATGCTGAGCGCGCCTCTAGAATTCGCTAAGAACGAAAAGTGTCCCATAACTGGTACGCTTACGCTTATATTGTCTAAAATGCTTATTTCAAGCCAGTATGCTTATATTGCTTAGAGTGCATATTTCCGAAGAAAGCGGCGAAAAAGCTTGGAATGCATGCTTGTGCTCATAAGCGGCGGAGATGAGCTATCATAGCGTAGTCGCCTGAGCGTGTTCCCCAATAATAATTATTGGATGGAAAGCATTTGGGTTTGAAGGGACGTTCCGCAAGCCTTCCGTGATGGCTTCCTGTCTTCCATGAGATTCAGTTCATTCATTCGTCAGTTGCTCGGGGTTTTGAATGCGACGAAGTAGACTTGTATGTGCGATCAAAGACTCATCGCGTCTCTAATCTGATCGGCTCACGGTGACATTCCAAAGTAGATTCCAAGTGACATCAGTGGCACCTCAAAATGTGATCGTCAGCAGCTCTCCGTTGCTGGAGGGATCTGATGCTCTCAATGCTTCACACTCGAGCTCTGTGACAGAGGACTGAACAGCTCACTCTCTGAAGTGCACCGTCACCATCACCCTTGATTTTTCCTATCAAGCTAAGTTCAAACTCTACGGCTTCGTGAAATGCCGAAGCAAACAGCACCGGTCCAGGAAAGGTTGAAAATCTTCATTCGTGATTTCGGAAGCGACGTTTTCTGAATATCGGGAGAAGACCTCTTTTGTAAAGCCTGCAAGAAGACTGTTTCGGGCGCGAAAAGATTTGCAGTCTCACAGCATGTGCAGGGTGCCAAGCATCTAGCTCTAGTGAGCGATGGAACGAGCTCGTCCTTAGATCATAGTGAGTCAGAGGCATCTGGGAAGCTATCGCAGTTTAGTCTCGATCTATGTCAGGCATTCGTCTCTTCCGGCATACCACTGCACAAATTAGAAGACATTCGACTTAGGAGTTTCCTCGCGAAATATGTTGAGCAGCCAATACCGTCCGCCGTCACTCTGCGGCTCAACTACCTGAGATACGTGTACGAACGGAAAATCGAGCAGATCCGGAGTCGCGTAGCGAACAACAACGTCTGGATTTCCATCGACGAGACGACCGACGCAACCGGACGGTTCGTGGCGCATGTCATCATTGGGACTCTTGTAACTTCAGACAGTCGCTGTTACCTCTTTCATGCCGATAGCCTCGAGAAAACAAATAGCTCTACCGTCTCGAAAGTTCTCATCGATGCTCTAAATCTCTTAAGGCCGGGAGGAATCGAAACGGAACGCGCTCTCCTGCTGGTCTCTGACGCCGCGGCATATATGAGAAAAGCAGGGATAGCTCTGAAGGTAATATTCCCTAAAATGCTGCATATAACTTGCGCAGCACACGCCCTACATCGCGTAGCGGAGGAAATACGAATCATGTTCCCGGATGTGGACAGGCTTGTGGCAAACGGCAAGAAGATTTTCAGGATAGCAGCATCGAGAGTAACAGCCTTCCGGGAATCTCAACCAGGGATTCCCCTGCCACCTCAGCCTATCTTAATGAGATGCGGCACCTGGATTACTGCGGCCACTCACTATGCTGTCAATTTCGAAAGCTTCGCGGAAGTTGTTGAGAGCTTCGATATGAATGAAGCTGTCAGTATCCAAGCGGTCAGAGAACTGCTGGAGAGACCTTCAGTGAAGTACGACCTGGCATGTATCTCACAGCGAATTTCGGCTGGCTACCCGCTGCGATTACTCAGCTCGAGGAGCAGACGAAGCCCCTCACCCAAGCAGTTGACACTTTCTCGGAAGCGATCGCAAAACTCCAAGCAGTCCCTGGCCCTGTGGGTCTTCGCGTCAGCCAAAAGTGCGAGTTCGTTATCCAGAACAATCCAGACTATGCCAAACTGAGCTCAATCGCTCAAATCCTGCGGGGCCACCGGATCGCAGATTGCATGGATTCTTACAACGCCTTAGAACTCTCGTCCTTCCGCTTCGCGCTGATTACGTCGACGGATGTAGAGAGAAGTTTTTCAATGCTCAAACACACCCTCAGTGACCGACGTCACTGCCTCACATTCGAGAATTTCAAAATGATTCTTGTTATCAATTGTAATACGGATCCTTAGTTGAGCAGGTCGAATATTCCTTCAATTCGCATAAAAAGCCGAATCAATCCATCCACGTAACTCCATTCCATGTAATCCGTATATTCTGCGAGCCAACGGTGACCTTCCCCCAACTCTCCCTCATGACTTGCAGAGCTTACTCTACCTGATAGAGATGCTTATTTTTTGATAATTGATGTCGCTTATATTGCTTATTTTGGATGCTATTTTCGCTTATATCGCTTATTCTGGATGCTTATTTTGCTTGTTTTAAATGCTTATCCCGCTAATTTTTTGGTGCTTGAACGTACGGGCTTTACTCATGTATGTGCGCGATGAGGGAGGCGCCGCGCGCGTAGGAACTTGGCGGTTAGCCATTCGAAATATCGGTGTCCTCCATGCCAAGCTAAGGCATCGCGGCAGAGGAAGACGAATTCCGGATATTCGAGCGTCGACACGCGCTCTCAAATCGAACGCGCGCGAATCGAAAGGGTGTCAGCCCGAACTACAGGCGGAAACGAATGTGGAATTGCGACTCTTGGGCTAGGAATCAAAAGAAAAGAGCGCGGCATGACGGCACTGGGAAAATCCCGCGTGTAGGCTGCACGCATGCTGTGGCACCCACTCCTAGAGGAACAATGAAGGCACTGGTCGGATTCACTAATTTCTCCTGGAGACGGGATGCGCTAGACTTCTGAACTCAGGTGGTGTAGTGACATCAACCTGGTTGACTTCGCGAGAGAGAGGACCCGAGGATTTAAACCTCGAGGTTCCTAGAACTCGGTACGAGGCGGGCGTGGCCGTCGTACGCGAGTCTGCACTTGCTACTGAATGTTTCTTCTCTCTGCCGCTAGGGCGCCGACTGTCATTCTCTGTTCAGCTGTTTCTCTACCGCTCCGCGCACAGTCCCACAGCTGGCTGCTGAGAGCCCGCTTGGAGGAAGAGGCCGATGCGGCTGGTTGTGATCTGGGTTGCGCTCCCGTCTCCTAGAGATCGTTTATTGAATAATTAATGAAACTGAAATATATCGACATATCGATATAATGACTAACATGACAAATAAATAGAGAGGGAACTGCTGTTCCCTGAGAACTGAAAATGCTGAGCTCTTGATGGTTACCCAACCTAACTGCATTTCGATCCCCAACTAGCTCGTGTGTGTTTGAGATGTGTGTTTGAGTTGTGTAGTTGCGCAGCGGACCTGGTCCGTTCGTCACAGTCCCCCCCGAATTTCCGAAGGGGTCGGAAATTCTGTGAGTTATGGCCATTGGCGCGCGCGCTCTGAGATTTGAATACACTCCACCTTGTCATGCTCACGGTGGCGCTGTGGTCGGGTTACGGTTTTCCTCGGCGGGAATGAAAGTCTTGGAGCTCAGTGTTCGTCAGTGTCTCTGCTGATCAGACGATTCCGATTCTTTGGCTTCGTCCGTTGGATCCCTGCCTTGCTTGAACATAGGAACGAGTCGCCCGTCGCCGTCTTTGCTCGCGTTGGACATGGCTCCCGTGAGAAACCCCTACCATCGATCCCCCAGGGGAATCCTCACTCGCGAGTGTTGGGAAATCACCTCTGTTTCTGTGAACAAGGTCATTCCCATTACTGTCTTAAAAGTTTTCCAGAGGTCAGTGTTCTCTTTTGAATTAATTACACTTGTTTACATGATAATTGTACTTGAATATGTAAGCCAAGAAACCCTGATCTAATTGATACAGAAAAAGACTGAATAGTCTTTTTCTGGAGAAATCCTTCCGTTTTCCACTGTAAGGGTCTATGAAACCCGGACGGCATATAAGACACATTGAAATAAACATCAGACACAGATTCTTCTGTCACACGCAATCCTTGCGTCCTCATTCTTGAGAAGCACCTTCCCGGCCAGCCCTCGACCCTCGGAGATCATCAGAACATTGTGCCGAAACAACTCTAAACTCCGGACAACGGACTCCTGCCGAACTGAGCAACTGCTCTGTGAGCTAACACTCACTGGGATCCTCTCGGATTCCTAACAGCGAGGTAGTGTTGCTTGGATGATATCTCTTTATTGCGGGGTTTTTTGTTGATCTGCGATCTAGGGCTCGTTCGTTTCCCTTTCAGCTCATAAAAGACACCCCTGGACTGGAATTGCATACGAGTGCGACCGTAGACAAGGTCTCGCTCCTGATGTGGAAGAGCCTTTTGACGAGTGAGCAAGTCCCGTATCGCAAGGCGACGGAGGCGATCTACGGCCGACGACCAGCACTGCCGCCAGGGAGTTTAGAACCTCCCCGGCGTCTATTTCTTGTGGTCCCTCCGACGTGGTATTCGGAGCGATTCTTGTGCGCGCTGAAAAAGGCGTCTGACACGGACGTTCTTTCCGTTTCGATTCCACGGGACCAGGTCCCTCATATGATGTATTTGCCCGACCTTGTGTTTGCCGGAGCCGGGCTCCTGACGCCGCCGATGTACTGTCCATGCTTGGACCATTGGCATCCTCTGGTCGCTTTCACTTATCAGGAGCGCCAGGAAGAACTGAATGCGTATTCTGCGAGGTTGCGCGCTGCTCGCGCCGACGTTTGAGGGTTTTCCCCCTCCTTTAAATTTTGTTTGAAGTGTATCAATGTTGGTGAGATGGCCCTGGGCCTTTGAATAAAATTATAATTTTAACTTTTAAATTTTGTGTTTCGAGTATTTGGTATGTGGTCGCTGGGGAAGCTATTGGGGGTCGATTGGGTACAGTTTCTTGATGGGTCGATTGAGGACCTGGCCCGTCGCTGTTCTTATGATGCATGATCTTGCCGTTTTCGGGTCGGTGTTTTCCGGAAATCCGATTACTCGACAGAGTGGCCATGGGCTCTATTGAAGGTTTCTCCTTGCAGTAGGCAGATTTCGCCGACGGTTAGGCCTAGCCCTTGCCGGGGTTTGCTTGTGTGCTGTTTTCAGATATTGCAGGTATTCTTCGTGGTAGCGTTTCCAATACGCGCTGAGCATTCGCTGTTGGTATTTCCACCTTGTGGAAAATATGATTTTGTCTTGATCTATCCGCCTCTGAGGTTTCGCCTTGTGTTCCGGAAGGAACGTTCCTCCTCTGTATCCGAAAAGAAGATCTGCTGGAGATAATGCTTCAATTTCGTCCGCCCCTGAGGCGACGGTCGTAATTGGTCTGCTGTTAACCATCGCTTCGATGCCGCTGAGGATTACTTCGAAATCTCTGAAATGTGGAATTGCTGTCCCTAGGATCTTTCGCAGGGGTCGTTTGATCGTCTGGACTTGGCGTTCATAGAACGCTCCGAACCATCGGGCCCTTGGTGTTATGAATCTCCACTTGATGAAGGCGTTGGCTAGGAATTTTTTGACCTCGTCGCTTCTGATATGTTCGTAAAGAACTCTGAGTTCTTTGGCTGCTCTTTGGAAAGATAGCCCGTTATCTGACGTTATTGTCCGTACGGCTGGGAAACGATTAATGAATTTTTGTAATGCCCCTAGGACTTCCACTGTGGAGAGATCGTACGTTAATTCGAGGTGAACTGCTCTGCTGACACTGCATGTCAGCAGGAGTATATAGCATTTCCCCACTTTCCTGATTCTTTCTTGTATCTGAATGGGCCTGCGAAGTCGCAGCCTGTGTTGGTGAAGGGGGGTGCTTCCTCGAGGCGAAACGCTGGTAGGGGTGGGGTTGGTTGGCTTGTGGCCTCGCCGTGAAAGAGTCTGCAGGTTGCGCATGAACTGATTACGCGTCGTATGATTTTTCTTGCGTGGATGAGAAGAAAGCCTTGTCTTAGTATTTGTAAGACAGCATTCATCCCCCCTGAGTGGAAACATTGTCTCTCATGAATATCTTGTACGATTAGTTTCGACAGATGACAGCTCCCTGGGAGAATGATCGGATTTTTCTGGGCATCGGAGAAGTGCGATGACCTGGTGAGTCTGGACTCGCAGTGAATGAGACCGTCTTCCTCGAAGTGTGGGTTATACAGATAGAGTTGATGGCTCTTTTTTATGTTCGAGCATTGATTTTCGTATTCTTCCTTGAAGTAGGTTTTTTGGATCAGTTGGAGAAGCGAAAGCCTTGCTTCGATCATTTCTTCGGCGTCGAAAGTCAGTTTTCCGGTGTGTTGTGGATGTCGTTGGAATTTGATGCCCTGAGCAACTCGAGATTTCGCTTGCTGTGCTTTCTTCGACATTCTCTGCATCAGAGCCCAAAATCGGATCACTTTGATCCATGAGGAAAACGTGTTTTCGAAGAAAATCGACCCCTGTTGGATGCGTTAGGTGGTCGATGTGACCATGCAGGCGACATTTTGTCGGCGTTCGGCGTTGAATTCCTTGGAGGATGTGTCGATCTTCAGGTTCGGCGGAAGTTAAGTGGGGATCTGATCCCGATGACTCAACCAGCGCGGCCCCTTGAGCCAGAGGCTTCTGTTTGGATCGGTTGATATGTCTGCTCCGCGCGAAACGAGGTCGGCCGGATTGTGCTCTGATTGAACGTAGCTCCATTCGACCTGGCCGACGAGTGTGTGAATTCGCCGAATCCTGTTCGCTACATAAGGTTTCCAGCGTACTGGTGATGATTTCACCCAGCCCAAAACGCTGGAGTTGTCCGAATATAGGTGGGTTGAATCTATTTCGAAATCCATGAGGTTTGTGATGGTGTTCACCAGTCTGGCTGATAACAGAGCTCCTAGTAGTTCGAGTCTGTGGATTGACATCGGCTTGACTGGGCTTACTTTCCCCTTCGCCGTTAAGGAATGAACCCTTGGTACTGCGCTGTCGAAAATTTCTCGCAGGTAAATGACGCAGCCGTAGGCTGTCAAGCTCGCATCGGCGAAAGCGTGCAGCATTAATCTTTCGATCGATGTCTGTCCCTGAGACAGTCTCGTGATGAATTCCGCATACTCGTTCTTGTATGTTTCGTCTAACGGCGTGTCCCAACCTTGTTTTGATTTCCACAGCTTCTGGAGCAGGATTTTGGAATTTATTGTGGTTGGTCCCGTTATCCCTAATGGATCGGAAATTTGAGCCAGTCCCCTAAGGAGCTTTCTTTTTG